TGTATCCTAAGAAATCAGAAACACCAATCAGAAATAATGTATGCACCCCATGTTCATAGAAGTGCAATTTACATTAGCTAAGATCTGGAAACAGCCCAAGTGCCTGTCAGTAGATGAGTGGATAAAAAAGTTGTGGTACATTTACACCATGGAATATTATGCAGCAGTGAAAAATAAGGATACCTTAACCTTTGAGACAGCATGGAGGGATCTGGAGAGTATTATGCTAAGCGAAATAAGCCAGTCAGAGAAAGCCAAGTATCACATGATCTCACCTGTGGCGAGTATACTCAGCCCCAGGACACCTTATGTGCCGCACCAGCTCAGCCGGGTTCAGTAAGCCTGAGAGGGGGCAGTAAAGGATTGAGAAAAGACAGACAAGAGAATAAAAGCTGGGTCTGGGTGGGACACTGTCCTCTCTGATGGAGAGCCTCTCTGATGGAGAGCTAGCCACAGCGCCACGGACTTTATTTTATAGCCAGATTCCACGAGGCAAAGTAAGGGTGTGGCCAAGATGTTTACAACATTCTCATGAGTTTCGATCCTACTCAATTACATGCACCTGAACTCTATCAAGCCCACATCACTCAGGCACATGGGGTCACGTGTTCAGACCATAGGTTCAAGCTTACAACTACAGCTGTTGGCTATAATTGTGCTGGGAGGGCTTTGCTCTCCAAGCTGGGACTTGCACGTGGCCATAAGAGGACTGTGCGCTCTCATTAGTCCAAGGCTTGAACCTGTCCAAACACTGTAGCCACTCTCCACACTCACTCATATGTGGAATCTAATAAACAACAACAAAAAATGATGAACAAAATAGATCCAGAGACATAGAAGCATGGAACAGACTGTCAAGCCTCAGAGTGAAGATGGGGGAGAGGGACTGGGAAGAGATTAACCAAAGAACTTGTATGCATTTATCCATAACCCATGGACACAGACAATAGGGTGGTGAAGGCCTGGGGTGGGGGCGGGCTAGAAGAGGTCAATGGAGGAAAAAGGGTACATAGGTAATACTTTCAACAATAAAAATCTATTTTTTTAAAAAAAAAAAAGAAGCCTCAGCTTCTCACCCTGGAGTCTGACCTTTGGCTCTACCACTAACTAGCAGCATGACCATAGGCAAGTTTCTTAACTTTCCAGCCTGTTACTTCATCTGAAATATGTGCTAATAATAATACCTGTCTTATAGGGTTGATATGATTAAAGGAGCTAATGCATTGAAAGGACTTGGTACAGGTGCCAGGCACGCAGTAACCTCTTATTAAAACAGTTATAATGATTTTTTATTTTTATCAGGAAGAATCAGGAAGGGTTGGGGGGGGGGTTAGAGAGCAACCGAAGGACTTGTATGTGTGCATATTAGCATAACCAATGGACACAGACACTGGGGTTTGGGGGCTTGCCCGGGGTGGGAATGGCTGGGGGGGGGGTGTCAGTTTGGGAAAAAAGAGACATATGTAAAACTTTAGACAATAAAAATAAATAAATAAATGAATTAATTAATTTTAAAAAAGAATCAGGAAGAATCAGGAAGAGGAAGAAGATTCAGCAAAGGAGACTGAGAAGTAGACACCAAAAAGGTCAGGGAGTGGGGAACATGAGAGAAGCGTGTCATGGAAACCAAGGATAAAGAATTCCAGGAAGGAAGGAGATAGAATGCAAAAACACTCAGAGGCCAGTTTCTTTTGACGAGTGATTTTCATCTTAGTGACCAATGAGAATGAAAGCAGAAAGGAAGAAAATAAACCCATAGTTTGAAATGAACCTTTTACAAGCTAACTCCATTAGTCTGATTCGCCCAGGTGTCATCTCCATGTCTCCTAATTAGGGAGAAGACATATTTATTGAGTAAAGGAAAAGCCAATGCCACACAAATTAAGTAAAAAAGAAATGTCAGATTACATCAGGTTGGTGAAATAAAATTTAGACAATCTTAAATTCACAAAACAGAGGATAAACAGGAAGAAACAGGATGAATCACAGAACAGGTTTTCAGAGGAGTGGTCTATACTGGAGGCCCAGGCTAACGCCAGTGAAAAGGAGGGTAATGGTATAGATCAGTGATGGCGAACCTATGACACGCGTGTCAGAGGTGACACGTGAACTCATTTTTTTGGTTGATTTTTCTTTGTTAAATGGCATTTAAATATATAAAATAAATATCAAAAATATAAGTCTTTGTTTTACTATGGTTGCAAATATCAAAAAAATTCTATATGTGACACGGCACCAGAGTTAAGTTAGGGTTTTTCAAAATGCTGACACGCCGAGCTCAAAAGGTTTGCCATCACTGGTATAGATCATTCTTTTTTTAAATCATCACCGACTATATTTCCTCCATTGATTTCTAGAGAGAGTGGAAGGGAGGGAGGAGGGAGGGAGAGAGAACCATCTGTGTGACAGACACACTGAATGGTTGCCTCCCACACGTGCCCTTATGGGGCCTGGGGAACCTGCAACTGAGGTATGTACCCTGGACCAGGAATCAAACCCGAGACCCTTTCGTCCAGGGCCAAGGCTCCAACCACTGAGCAAAACCAGCCAAGGCATCTTTATTTTTTATTTTATCTTTCTATTCTACCTGGTGCCAGAAAGAAATTATGGCTGTATAAACAGTGTCTTGTGTGGACAAATATTCCACAAGTGTTTACAGTATAGAGTAAAACAGAAAAGATGAACAAGAAGTGGAATGATATTCAAATCTGGACTAGATGAGGGAAGTAGATATCTCCTAAGGGTAGACTTATCGAGGGAAAGATAAGACTTAAGGGTTATATCCTATGTGAGCTGGGAAGTGTTGGGGCCCCTGTGGAAGCCTGAGTGGAACTGCCTCTTGCCTGGGGGTGATGGAGGGATCCCCTTTGGCTCTTGAGAGATGGTGGTGGCTGCCAGGGTCCCAGAGGTGCCCCAATAGATGCAAGGAGTGGCTGGCTGCTGGCCCGTTCTCAGCTAAAGGGCCCCTCCCAGTCTCCTTCTGGCCTTGAGGGTTAAGAATGCTGATTTTTTAAAAATATATTTTTATTGATTTCAGAAAGGAAGGGAGAGGGAGAGAGAGAAACATCAATGATGAGAGAGAATCATTGATCGGCTGCCTCCTGCACACCCCACACTGGGGATTGAGCCTGCAACCCAGGCATGTGCCCTTGACTGGAATCAAACCTGGAAACATTCAGTCTGCAGGCTGATGCTCTATCCACTGAGCCAAGCCAGCCAGGATGAGAATGCTGAATCTTAAGGAAAACAGGGAGTGTCGGGTGGGGAAGGGTAATGGCAGAGCTGAGAGAGAGAGAGCCTCCACCACCCTCTACCAAGAGATGAGTATGGCTGGGTGTGGGGAGTCCTAAGGTCAGATCGTGGGGTCATTGATGGAGCAGGAGCAAGAACCCAGGGAGGACCTAAGGAACTGTTTCTCGAAAGAGTAATACTTCAAGGCAGGTTCTTGTCATGGCAGCCCAGACAGGCTTTCTACAGTGCCTGGCTTCAGCCCCTAACCCCTTCAGGGTCCCTTTATCTCTCTGAGTGGCCCATCAACTGCTAGTATAATTAGAGCCCCAATAACTCTTCCTGGGCTCCTCAACCTGTGCCATTCCCGATACAACATAGCCCAGAGTTCTGTATGGAACCCTGGAATCTGTGGTTCCTACCAGGCTTCCTGTCACTGTCAATCTCCACGTGACCTCAAACGCTCTCCCCTGACCCACACAGAAGCTCTGTGCTTCTCCCCTGAGGCATCATCTCCCACTGCTGCACACTCTGTCCTCTCAGCTCTGTGGAGCACCAATTTCCGCAAAAAAAAAAACTCCTTCAAGTCCTCGAGTTTGTGCATCCAATTCACTCCCCACCCCCTGCCTTAAATGCAATCATTCCCATACACCCAGCCTTGTCCTGCTCACAGAGCAGGGACATATGCACCTACAAGAGACATAGGGACCCTTGGGGCCTGAGGTCACACATGTCCTGTCCTTATTTTTTTTTTAATGACACTCCAATATGAGATCAGGAGAGGGGACAAGGCAGGTTCCTCCGAAGGTCCCTCACCTCCTCCCTGCCCCATGAATGCCCTTCACTCTGCTAAAATGGCGTGGCTTTCTGATCCCCATGTTCCCTCATGTGTCCTAGCTACTAGATTGCTTTTCATTCCTCCCCAGCTATTCTCAATTCTCAGATTGGTGTGGGGTTGGCTTGGAGTCCTGGGCTGCCTGTGTCCTCTGGCATGTAGCTTCAGGGCTTAGGCCAGTGGTTCTCAACCTTCCTAATGCCGCGACCCTTTAAATACAGTTCCTCATGTTGTGGTGACCCCCAACCATAACATTATTTTCGTTACTACTTCATAACTGTAATTTTGCTACTGTTATGAATCGTAATGTAAATATCTGATATGCTATATGTGTTTTCCGATGGTCTCGACCCACAGGTTGAGAACCGCTGGCTTAGGTGGTGAGGCTCCGTCCAGTGCTATCAGCTGAGCCTCTGGTGCTGGGCTCCCGTGAGTAACTGCTCTCTCCTTTCCTTAACTGGGATTTGGGACGAGGCCGGTTTCAGCCCACAGGAGAGATTGCTGGTTGTGACCACGATGTCAGCTAAGAGCAGCAACAGTGATCTAAGAAATCCACCCAAAGGAGGAAGAGCTGCCCCTCCCCAAAGGGACAAGGAATGAAGCCTCTAGACTTCCCATTTGGGGTTGTACTCGCAGCACCAGACTCCCCAGCCATAAGACGCCTCTGGATACATTACAGAAGAAAGCACTGAAGCATTGTCAATTAGTGGCTGCCATAGTTTGGTTCTGTGATCGAAGGGACAAGTCAATTGTAGAAAGAGTCTCTATTTACCTTTGGGGAATATTTCAGCTTATTTCTTCTTCCCTTTGCCTCACCTGCAAAATGAGATTGCTAAAAACCCCACCCCTTTATAGTTTTTGACCATATTTATTTCCTTTTCCTTCTTAAAATTATACCACAGAGACATTAAAATAGATGCTGATATATATTTATTGACATAGAAAGAAGCCCACAACAAATTGGTGAAAAAATACAGACTATAGAACAGCACTTATATTTGACACTTTTATCTGTACATATATCTATCTGGGTACATAGGTATAGGGAAATATCTAGAAGGATAGTCATCAGAGGGTTGACAATGGTTATATAAGGGTGGAAGATTTGGACTAATTTGTACTTGACTTTTTGTAATTTTTTGTTGTTCGAAGATTTAACAGTGAATTATACCACTTTCACAAAGAGAATAAAGCCATCAAGGAAATGAGCACACACAGAAAATAGACCCTTAGGCAGCAGAGGTGGGGGTGGGAAGCAAGGACAGAGGACAGGCCATCTTTCTCCACTGTGCTTGTATCCAAGACCCTTTCTCCTGCACCCTAAAAAAAGCTGCTTTGTGGATTAATTCATGCAATTAGAAGCCCCCTCCCTCAGTTTTCCCATCACTAAGCTCCGAAGATAGCTTAAGGGTTCATTTAAGGCTGAAGGCTAGCACCTCACTGTAGCTCAGAAGGGTCATCGGATTGGTCAGGAGCCTCTCTTGACCCCTCCTCCTCCCTATGTGTCAGCTCCTGCAGGGTCATGACCAGATTTTCAAACATCTCAGCCTTGTTGCTCTTGTCACAGGTTTCCTTCGAGTGGTCCTCCTTGCCACAATATGAAGAGTGGGTTGTGTATTTTCGCTTCCTGGCTCTACAAATATCCCCAGGCCCATCATTTTTATCTCCAGAACCGCCACTGGTGGAAGGAGATTGCGCCTGGGAACTATTGGGGGAATCAATGACTACCACTTGATCCTGAGGTCTGGCTCTGCTTCTCGGGGGAGGAGACCCAGAGGATGAAAGTGGAGGGTCCTGAGACTCCACCAGGATCACATCTTCATCTGAGTCATCCAGGGTGTCATCTATCTCTATCACGTTGCAGTCAGCACTGCCGATCACTATCCGTAGGGAACCCTGAAATGCCACTGGGCTGGTTGCCTTCTCCACCATTGACTCAGATCTCCTGGCCCGCTTCTGATTAATGAAAGTGTCATCCCAATCCTCCTCCTCCCTTATCATCTTGATTAACTCCAGGAAATTGGGAAGACGCTCCTGCTCATTTGCATACATCCTGAGAAGATGCTTCAGCCTGTAGCGCAGGTCCCCATTCAGCTCAGCCCCTAAAAGGAGCTGGTGCAGGCGAGTCTGGTTTGCATCTTTCTCGGCTATGATCCCTGCCTGAATAGCGTTCTGGAGCTGCACCTCTAAACGGATCACATAAAGGGAGGCTTTCTCCCCTTGTGCCTGCAGGGTGTTAAAAAATTTACCGTGGGCAGTCACATTGTTTTCAGTCTCCCCAAACACCAATTTCATTGCGTGCAAGAAATCTGCCACACTTAGGTTGGGGTTGGCTGCCTGGAGCAAGTGCATGACCTCCCGGGCAGGGCCCCTAAGGGTTTTCATCAGGCGCTTGAGCTTCTCCTCCTCAGACATATTCCAATCTGGCAGGACCCCATTGACTTGGATTAGCCAGTTTTCAAAGGTTTCTTCCCCCTGGGCTGGCACCCCCCTCCCTGAGAACAACTTCATGTTTCTTTCCGCCATGTTGGCCATTAAAGGACCAAGACTCCTCCCCAGGGACCTCAGCATAGAATGGGCCCAAGGCGGCAAGCGCGCGTTCTGCCGCCGGCTGTTACCCATGTGTGCAATGATGCTAGCCATGATGGGTGCTGATCGGGTATCTGAATATTATCAAGATGTTTGGGCTTTTTGGAAAAGACTAATCTGCAGGCGTGCCGGGAGCCTCTGCCTTCCTCCTGTAAAAAAGAAAAAAGAACAGAAGGGGTGTGTAAGAGGAGATTCATAGGGCTGCAGCTGTTTTCTCTCCCTTCCTAAATATCCTGCAGTACATTTTATATCTGCCTGCTGTCCTAAAAATATCCTCCAAGAGACTGGCAGTTACAACTTCAGGGAGCCAGCCGGTGTCTCCCTGTTAGCGGGGAGCTTTGGACAGCCACATCCATTCCTCCAGTCTTTCAAGAGCGACGGCAACTGTTGCTTCTAATTCTAAGTGTAATAGTGTATGGAGCTGATGTTGGGCTCTCAAAATAGAGCACAGTGGTCAGATCTCATTAACCTCATGGTCTCAGGTCTCAACCACATCCCCTCTCAAAGTGTCTCTCCCCCCACCCCTTATCTCTCAGATTCTTACACGAGTTCAGGAACGGGCGTGCGCCTTTATTTCACTATCAGCCTCTGCAACTGGTGGCCTCCATGAGAAAGCTTGTCTCCAGGGTACAGTCGATCTTTGTCCACCGGGGGAGTCCCTGATCCCGGACCTCTGGGTGTCAAGAATGAGCCTTCGCCAGGAAGGGCAGGGAAAGGAAGGGTCAGAGACAGCCCCATCCCTCATCCCGCTCCCTCCCTCTTCATCCCACACCCCCTTGCTCCCTCGCTGTAGCCAAGCTGAAAATTCCCTTAGCGACCTTTTGAATACAAGCCAAAGCGACCCCCGCCCCGCCCCGTTACATTTCCCCTTGGAAATCCTCGGCCTACCAGCTCTGCAATCAGCCGCACAGAATTCAAGTCCGGATTCGTTTTAGATGGCCTGCCGCCGAGAAAGAGAACAGGAGTTGGACACGCACACCCACATATCCCTCACCAGGATGAGATGAGGGGATGCAAAGGGATGTCAAGACAGACAGCTTGAGATTCTCTTCCCTTGCCTCCCCAACCTCCCCAAAAACTCCCCTCTCTCAATCCAGGCAAACCCTACCCACTAGGCAGCATCCAATGGCACCCCATCTCCTCCCTCAGCGCAGCCAGGCCATACCAGTGCTCCTTGCCCAGCCTCCTAGTTCTGGATTTTCCAAGCGGGGAGCCGCCCAGTCCCGGTGGGCTTTCCCTCCTCTCTCCCCGCCGGGCAATCGCGCCCCCTTTATTTACCTGTGCTCCGCGGGTGGGCAGCGGCGAGACAGCTCAGGATGTAGGTTTCGGCCTCTGCGGCCCTGCAGTGGGAAAGGATGGACGCCTCCTCGGCCGCTACTCGTGGCTGCCCGAACTGAACTGCTCTGCACTGCAGCCCAGCCAGGGGGAGTAGAGTCCTGTCAGCACGGTTCCCAAGGCAGCAGCAGCTGCTTTTATCCTCAGTCCTCTGAGACAAAAGAGCGTGACGTGCGGGCCGGCGCGGCCAATCAAAGAGGCCTGTGGCAGGGAGGGGGGGCCGTGCGACTCCCAGCACAGCCTCCATCCTAGGCAAGTTTTAATGGAGCAGGGAGTGGGGGGTGGGGGAGGGGACAGGGGACTGGGCCGCAGATCTGCTGGGCTTCAAGTGCAGTTTGATTGCATGGATTGCAAATTTGCTCCTCTTCCCTTCTCCCTCTTTCTTCCTTGACTAAATCCCGTGCCTTGAGGGCAAGTGCATTAAACACAAGGTGGAATAAAAAACAAATAAATAATAGAAGGACTTCACCTTTGTGTGTTGGGAAGGGGGTAGGGGTAAGAACACTAGAGTTTTCTTACTGCAAACAGGCTTACACAGACATCTTTCAGTGTAAAGGAGATGGCAATATGTCCAGTTACCAGCGAGAGGACTTAGGCACCAGGCTGTAACCATACTCACTAACTAAACTATGGGTACAAGGCTGACTGCAACAGAATCATTTTGGGGAGCTTGTTAGAAATGTAGATTACTGGATCTGGCCTCTGGGGGATTCTGATTTAGGAATAGGGCTGGGGTATGATTTTAGGTTTTTAACCATCACTGTAGTTGATTCTGAAGTGTAGAGAAGATGGTAAGTAAATGCACCTGTCTCCAATGTATCTGTTCACAGTATATCTGTGGTGAAATGCATCTCCAGAACATATGTTCTTACCTGTGTCCATGATCTTCCTGAAATTGTATGGGAAGAGTTTGGAATCTGTAGGATGCTGAATAATGGCCACCCATATATATTAAGTCTTAATCCCTGGAACCTGTAAATGTAACCTTATAAAGTAAAAGAGCCTTGACAGATGTGATTGAGGATTTTGACATGGGGAGATTATCTGAATGGGCCTTAAATCCAATCACAGGTGTCATTATAAGAAGGAAGACAAGAGAGCTGACACACAGAAAAGGAGAGAGGGATGTGAAGACAGAGGCAGAGAATGGAGTGATGTGGCCACAAGCAAAGGAATGTTGGCAACCACCAGAAACCAGAAGAGGCAAGGAGCAAAGTACAACTCTGCCCACACCTTGAATTCAGTCCAGAGGAACTGATATTGAACTTCTGGTCTCCAGAACTATGAAAAAATAAATGTCTCTTCTTTCCAGCCACCAAGTTTGTGGTAATTTGTCATGGCAGCAAAGGGAAACTAATGCAAATTGTATTTTTCTGAATCCATAGCTTTGTCAATTTTAAAATGGGTCAGTGGCTCAGTAATTGTTAAAAACCACTCCCCTGCGATATTTCTTCATAATATCTTCCTCCTTGAATTTGTACTTGAGGAAAGAGTGTGAGAAATTAAACACAATTTTACTAGAGCTCTGAACCACAGTTTTCTGCCATAACATAGCTCTTCCATTTCCTGGTTCAAGGATAAGTTGCTAGGCGGTTATTCTTTGAGTTCTGGAAAAGACTTTGCCTCTGCTGGACTTGGCATTACTAGGCCCAGAGAAGGAACAACTCCATGAAAACAGTATGCAGAGCTGTCTGGAGTGAATGGGCTATGAAGCCAGTGGCTCCATGTCTTAGCTCGGGCTGCCATGACAAAGTACCATAGACTGTGGGGGCTTAAACAATAGGAATTACTTTTCTCACAGTTCTGGGGGCTAGAATCCAGTTAAAGTTGCCTACAGGATTGGTTTCTCCTGGGGCCTCCCTACTTGGCTTGCAGATGGCCACCCTCTTGCTGCCTCTTCACAAGGTCTTTCCTCTGTGTGCTCACTCCTGATATTTAAATTTCCTCTTCTTATAAGCACCCCAGTCAGACTGGATTAGAACCCACCCTAACCTCTTCATTTTCACTTAGTCACCTTAAAAATCTGAAATTTAGGAGTTAAAGCTTTCAGTTGAAACACAAATAGCTACCTTTAGTTGCCCTCCTCCTCTGTGCCAGGAATTTTCTATCCGTTATCTATTTTAGGCATCTCTGGCAACCCTGATGAGATAGACATTGTTCTCCCACTGAAGGAGCTGAGGCCATGCAATCTCTTCACACTAGGGCTTAGGCTCATTGGAAGTCAGAGTCCAGATGGTGATACTTATGGGAGATCCTGCCCACACTAACCTCATAACCCAAGAACAGTATCTTTCTTGAAAATATTCAACAAGAGAGTGAAATAAATATAATTTTTTTTCAATTTTTAAATTAAATTTAATTTTTTCCATCACCTTTTATCCCCTCTATGCCCTCTACCACCTCCACCCATCCCCTTCTACCCCTGTAATCGCCACACTTTTTTTCTTTATTGATTAAGGTATTACACATGTGTCCTTATCCCCACATTGCCCACCCCCCCGCTTGTGCCTTCACCCCCTAATGTCTGTGTCCATTGGTTATGCTTCTATTCATGCATACAAGTCCTTTGGTTGATCTCTCCCCCTCCCCCCACCCTCCCCTGCCTTCTCTCTGAGGTTTGACAGTCGGATTGATGCTTCTCTATCTCTGGATCTGTTTTTGTTCATCAGTTTATGTTGTTCATTATAAATATAATTTTAGACATACAAATCTAAGAGGGTTTGTCACCAATAGACTGAACTAATGGAAATTCTAAAGGATGTACTTCAAGAGGAAAATGGTCTTAGAAGAATGAAAACCTAGAAGGAATAAAGAACAAGGAAAGTAATAATGCATGGGCAATGTAAGTGAATGTTGACTGAAGAAGGATTCATAAAAACATCTATTCTGTTTTTTTGTTTTGTTTTGTTTTTAGTAACTTTTTATTTATTATCATTATTATTTTTTAATCCTCACCAGAGGATATTTTTCCATTGATTTTTAGAGAGAGTGGAAGAGAGAGGGAAAGACAGAGAAATATTGATGTGAGAAAAACACAACGATTGGTTGCCTCCCACAGGAACTCCAACCAGGGCCCTGGCCAGGGAGTATCCTGCAACCAAGGTATGTACCCTTGACTGGAATTGAACCTGGGACCCTTTGGTCCCCAGGCCGATGTTCTATCCATTAAGCCAAACCAGCCAGAGCCTATTCTGTGTTTAAAAAATAAACAAAATATTGTACAATAAGAAAAGATGTGCCGAAACCAGTTTGGCTCAGTGGATAGAGCGTCGACCTGTGGACTGAAAGGTCCCAGGTTCGATTCCAGTCAAGGGCATGTACCTGGGTTGCGGGCACATCCCCAGTAGGAGATGTGCAGGAGGCAGCTGATCGATGTTTCTCTCTCATCGATGTTTCTAACTCTCTATCTCTCTCCCTTCCTCTCTGTAAAAAATCAATAAAATATATTTTTTAAAAAAAGAAAGAAAAGATGTTAGGGAAGGACTTAAATGGAGTTGAACTTTTCTAAGGGCCTTGTATCATATCAGAAGTGATTACTCTTTGATAAGGTAATTCTGTATATAGGAATTAATAGGATGTAACTATTAAAATAATAGTAACAGGGAGAACCAAGATGGCGCATAAGGTATACACTTATATGTGCTACCGCGCACAACCACACCAAAACTACAACTAAAAGACAAAACGGCTATCATCCAGAACCACGGGAAAGCTGGAAAGCTGGCTGAGTAGAAGTTCTACAACTAGAAGGAAAGAAAAAAGTGCATTGAGACTGGGTAGGAGGTGTGGAGGCGCCAAGAGCAGAGGTATGGAGGCGCACGAAATGGGCTGGCAACTGGGTGTGCTGTTTTTTTCAATCGGAAGGGAGATATAAGCTCCCGACTGCTCTGAACTCCAGTTTCCGGCGAGACTCTGGGGACCCAGACTCCTACGGGGAGAAACTGGACTGTCTGGCATCAGGTTGGAAAGCAAGGGTGGCTTTCTCGCAGAGCTGCCACAGGGATCATTGTTACTGTGGGGGCGAGGGACTTGGGGAGGCAGAGATGTAGAGACCCAGAGACGTGGAGACAGCTGACTGACAGCCATCGCTATTTGCTCTGCCCTGGTGACTCCCTGAAACCCCACCCTACCCAATTTACAACCCCATCCAAGCTATGCGCATCGGCTTTTGCATATGAATTGCCTGTCCTTTCGCAGCCTAACCTAACAAACTGCAGCTGGTCAGAGAGCTCCAAAACTCCAAACCCCAACAAGAGAGAAATCTGCAGATCTCGCTGTAGCTCCTGCTGGGTGGACTCAGGCAGTGGCTGACTTTGCACTTCCTTGGAGATCCAGGAGCCAGTGTACCCAGTGGTAAGATACCAGATTTCAACTCCTCATATGCGTAAGTGACACACTCAATAGGCAGACTCAGTGAGCACCAAAGCAAGTCCTGCCCCATAAGGGTGTCTCCAGCACAGAAGTTCTCCTACCGTAGACACAGCGGATCCTTACAGTCAGTTGGCCTGGAGATCAACTCCTCCCAAGGATACCAACAGCAATCAAGGCTTAACTACAATAAGACTGTGCACAAAGCCCACAAAGGGGTGCACCAAGAGTGTCCACCTCAGGTGATTGGGGAGGCTGAGCCACTGGGCCCAATAGGACACCTACCACACAAAGCCACTCTATCAACACAGGGAAGCAGCCAAAATGAGAGACAAAGAAACATGTCACAAATGAAAGAAATGGATGAAAGCAAACTACTGGATATAGAGTTCAAAACCACAGTTACAAGGTTACTCAAGAATCTTCTAGAAACCTCCGAGAAACTTAGTGAGACCTCCGAAGAACTTAGTGAGACCTTCAAGGATCTTAATGAGAATGCCAAAAAATGGAAAAGGACCAGTCAGAAATTAAGCATACACTGTCTGAAATAAAGAATAATATACAGAAATTCAACAGTAGACTAGAGGATCCCAAGAATCAAATCAAAGATTTGAAATACGAGGAAGCAAAAAACACCCATCTGGAAAAGCAAAAAGAAAAAAGAATTCAAAAGATGAAGATAGTGTAAGGAGCCTCTGGGACAACTTCAAAAGTACCAACATCCG